AATGTTTCCTTGGATAACTACAAACCGATTTCCCGCCTAGCCCGCGTCTACGTGCTGTTTTCGAGAGTCATTACGAATCGTCTCGCAAGCAGACTCAACGACTTCCAGCCTACCGAACAAGCCGGTTTCTGAAAAGGCTTTAGCACCATAGACCACATAGATACCCTTCGGCAAATTGTACAGAAGTCCAAGAAGTATTCCACATGTCTGGCGTATGTGGACTTTGAGAATGCCTTGGATTAGTTCGAAAGTTGGGCGATGCTGCAGTCCCTTCAGCGGTGCCTAGTTGACTGGCGGTATATCGAAGTGCTGAAGTGTTTATACAGTAGGGCTACGATGGCTATCCGAGTACAGAACCAGAGTATGAAACCTATCCAACTGCAGAGAGGTGTAAGACAGGATGACGTAATATCCCCGAAACCCTTCACCGCTGCATTAGAAGACGCTTTCAAGTTACTGGACTGGAAAGGATACGGTATTAACATCAACGGAGAGCACATCACTCACCTTCGATTTGCTGACGATATATCCTTATGGCAGAATCGCTAGAGGACTTAAACACTTTGCCCAATGACCTAAATAGTGCCTCCCAACGGATAGGTCTTAAGATGACCATGGACAAAACAAAGATCATGTATAACGTCCATGTCACACCTATGCCAGTAGGTTTTGGTAGCACTAAGCTCGAATTTGTTGACGAGTATGTGTACCTGGGACAAATCGTCCGACTAGGTAAGTCCAACTTCGACCGAGAGATCAATCGACGGATTCAACTCTGCTGGGCAGCGTTCGGGATATTACGGCACATCTTCTCGTCTGGTAGGTATACTTCGAAATTTGAAAACGAGACTGTACAACCAGAGCGTGTTGCAGTGATGACCTATGGAACTGAGACGTGGTTCTTCAGCGCTGGCCGTATAAGAGAGCTCAAGTTTGCTTAGCGAGCTATGAAGAGCCCTCTCCATATGCTCGGGGTTTCTCTGCGTGATAAACTTAGAAATGAGGATATCCGCAGTAGAACCAGAGTAACCGACATAGTCCAACGGATTAATAAGCTGAAGTGGAAATGGACCGGCCATATAGCTTGAAGAACCGACAATCGATGAGGAAAACGGTTCTCAAGTGGGGGCCCGTACCGGCGGGTGAAGTGTAGGGCCTCCCCCCACTAGATGGAGTGACGAACTGGTAAAACATGCAGGAAGTCGATGGACGCAGGTGGCTCATGACTGTGCTTTGTTCAGCAGAGGACTTGTGAAGGGCTGTAATGATGATGATGATGAGTTTGTTATTTGCATTCAGGAGGCCTTTAAAAGTTGTGCTACCTTGTTGTCTCATATTTTCGGTCAATTCAATTAACTAGAAAAAACGCCATAGGTGTGTTGTTGGGACAAATTTAGAGGATTGATCAAGCACTTGATTTCCTTGCACAGGAGGTAACTGCATTAAGTCACCAAATACACAAATATTTATACCACCAAAGAGTAATTCATTGTTTTTGACTTGTTTTAGTCGAGAATCCACCATACAAAGCATTAATATGGAACCATAGAGATTTCATCGATAAATAAAAATTTTATGTGTTGCCATTGTCGGCGCATCAAACGCACGTAATTACAGCAACTAAATCTGGTCTAGTTCAATCCCCAGAAGACACAAGTTTGCGTGTTTACCGCTAAAAGGAACCCCTTTGTAGTATCTCCTCAGTTTGTAGGCACTACCCTACTAAGCGAGTATCGGAATCCTCGGCGTCGACATATTAAGTGACGTGCAGTTTCGTGGTAACTTGGAAGAGAAGGCCAAATTGGCCTCTAAAAAGCTTGGCGTGCTCAGCAGAGCGGAACAGTATTTCATGCCGGCACACCGCCTGCAACTTTACAAGGCACAGGTTCGGCCTTACATGGAATACTGTTCCCATCTCTGAGCAGGGGCTCCCCAGTGCCAGCTCCATCCACTTGACCGCATCCAGTGCAGAGCGATTCGTATCGTCGACGACCGAGTTCTTTCCGATCGGCTTGACTCACTGGCACTGCGTAGAGATGTTGCATCTCTTTGCGTATTTTATCGCATTTACCACGGGGAGTGCTCTGAGGAATTGTTCGGACTAATGCCAGCCGCTCTATTTCACCATCGCACATCGCGACAAAACTTGCGATACCATCCATACCACCTGGATGATTGGCGGTCCACCACTGTGCGATTTAGAAGCTGTTTTCTTCCTCGCACAACTTCCTTGTGGAGTCGATTATCACCAGCGATTTTTCCGGCTTGATATGACTTAGGGACCTTCAAGAAAAGAGCCTACTCCTTTTTAAAAGGGCGGCAACGCATCATAACATATCACGTCCACGTGTATATAAATAAAATAATAAAATATCTTTATTTCTGGCAACACAGGACCCATACAAGAATGTTAGTAACAGGGGGGCTACTCCATGCGAACGACCTTGAGCATTTGGTGTGCCGCGCCGACTCGCTACAATATATCGTTTAAGAAATATGTAAGACGCCACCTACTCTGTACGAACGTAGTATTTTTTCAACATTAATAAACTATTTTATGGAAATACACACAGCGTACAACGATAAATGTATTTTAATTTTTTTATTCGGTATATTAGTTGCATTATATTAGAATTATGTATTTTCATATATTATCTAATTATGAAATTTTATAATTAATTATATATTAAAAATGAAGCATTGAAAATTGTGAGTTTAAAAGATACCTACTCACTATAGAAACAAACAGAAACTGTTTTATTCAATATAGATTACAAATAATACTTATTGAAAGTCACTCTTTTGTTTGATTACCACTGGTTCGGAAAAAACCTCTGTCCTGGGAAGAACCAGCAAGAAACCCAGCGGGACTTTTTTTTAAATAACAGCTTACAACCATGATGTTACACAAATTAACAACACAACAAATTAGAAATAGCTTGGTAGCGATCACCTCATTTCCAGGGGTTATTATCATCCATAAATTCCTTAATATTATAATAACCCTTTTTATACAAACTTAGTTTAATAAAGTTTTTGAACTTTGAGCAAGTCAAACTTAGCATATTTTCTGGAATTTTGTTGTAAAAGCGTATACATGGCACCAAGAATGAATTACTGACCCGATGGAGTCGAGTAACTGGTACTACTAGCTTGTGTCTGTTCCTAGTATTTACAGAATGAATATCACTTATTTTTGTACAACTACTTTTATTTTTGTGTACATATAGTACATTTTCATAAATGTATTGAGAGGCCAAAGTTAATATATTAATTTCCTTAAATTTTTGTCGCAGCAACTCTTTAGGCTTTTCATAAATGCTCTTATGGCCCTCTTCTGCAAAACAAATATAATTTCAGTGTCAGCTGCGTGTCCCCATAGCAAAATACCATACGACATTATGCTATGGAAGTAGCTGAAGTAAACTAGTCTAGCTGTTTCAACACTGGTTAGACTTCTAATCTTTTTTACAGCATATGCTGCAGAACTAAGTCTGCTTGCTAGTTTTGATATATGGGGGCTCCATTGAAGCTTCGCGTCTAGTGTGATTCCAAGAAAAATGGTGGTATCTATAAGATTCAGTTTCTCCCCATTTAAAATTACATTAGTATTTAATTGTTTGACATTTGGAGTCATGAATTTCATACATTTCGTTTTAGTGCCATTTAAATGCAAATTATTAACATTGAACCAATTTACTAATTTAAATTAGTACATTGATATAGGTATATAGATAGATAGCTCGCCTTTTGTACAAATATTTGGTGCAATAAAGAATAAATAAATAAATAGGATGTTTCGCAGAGTGAGAGTAATATAGAATGAGTCGTGGAGGCAGTTTACAAACATAAATTGCACAAGGACAAACATCCAGACCCGGAACAATTATTTGTAGGCCATACAAATACTTGTTCCGTGCGAGATTCGAACCCGCGGCCCCCAGCGCAACAACTGATTGCTAAGCCACTGCGCCACGGAGCCGTCGCCGGGTTATAGCTAAAGTGACCATACGTCCCGTTTTGAACGGGACTGTCCCTTTTCTCGATCACCTGTCCCATTGTCCCCAAACAAAGCTCCGGGACCCAAAATTGTCCCGTAACTCGTTGGATGGAAGTATTCAAAATCAACAATCTTTAAAATAATTTTTTTTAATCGAATATATTTTATGTCTACCTGGTACGAATGCTCCGGTAGAAAGAGTATTTTTTTTATTTTGAATAAATTGTGGACGTCTGAAACAAACACTTACGGTTCCAGAGTTCTAAAGGCGATGTTGTTAACAAAGATAACATTAAAAAAACTTGAGCAGAATTTTTATCTTATTTAAAATCATCACCAACTTTATTAAAGCAAATTTAATCCACTGACAAATGTAATTAATAATTAAAAAAAATATGTTGCATTTAATAATTACCGTCTATACCGAATATAATTTTACAGTGAACACTAATTGTATAAAGTTACAGTTTTTAGAGTATAAATAAACCCATGTCCTGTTTTGAGTTAAAAAATAAATGGTCAGTTTAGTCTTTTTAGTTAAATTTAGTTTTAATTTTTTTTAGTTAATAGTAAAAAGTAGGTATATTAGTACCTACTTAGATACTTTTTACCGAATTATAAGTATAGAACACCTTATGTACTCAATTATTTTCGAAAAAGAAGAAAAAACAAGCAATAAATAATATACTATATTTTAGCAAAAAAACTATAACTTAGTAATACTAATTATAACTTAGAACATAAATGAAAAACTCATAACTAACTTTTTGGCCCGACCCAGGATTCGAACCCGGGATCTCATGATCAGCAGTCGCACTACTACAACCACTAGACCAACGAGGCAGCACTATACTTAAGATATTGTGGTTAGGTGATAATATTGAATTAGCCTTTTATAGTGTAAATTATAATATTTGTCGAAATTTGAATTATGGATTCGAACCTTACATGCTAATGGTGCTTCATTTTTTTATTTGCATTTACTTCAAAGAAAATACACGCAATAAGCTTCGTCGCGCAGTAAAAAACACAACAAATATATGTATAAGTAATACGAAAAATATACCCAAAACAAACAAATAATACTACCTATAAATAATCTAATAAGTTATAATATTATAATATTATGCGCGTGTGCGCTGGCAGACGCTCTAAAGACACGGGTTCCACGTGTAAGAGCTCAGGGCTCAGTGACTCCAGCAAGCCCGTGGGCAGTAAATACGCCCAGATTTTAAAATAATATCTTAATAAAATCAAATTTTGGTCTTTTGAAAAAAAATTTACTATAGAAATGTTCATTAATAAATTGCCTATCCATTGGTGTAAATCGCAAAATAAAATAATACTTACTTTACGAGGAGATGCATGTTATCAATAATAATTTCACATTTATGTGGTTTCGTTGTAAGGAGATTATATTCATATTTATTCCTTTAAAAAAAATTGGATATAGCTTTTATGGAATCAAGATTATGTAGAAATATAATGTGTTTTTTATTTGTTGATATATCTTTTAAATAAAAAGTAGATAGCTCCTAAAAAACGCACAAATAACGACTAGCGCGACATTTTGCTCAACCTGCGCCTTAAGTGAAATATAACTTAAATTATAGTGTTAGTAATTAAATTAATTTACATAAATAATGATGACAAATGTAAATGGAGATGTTTGAGACCAGCCGCCACGGGGTACCGGTGACTTATACCGTGGCATGTAGCCGTATCCAGCGCTCAAGCAGTGGCGAGTCCCACCTATCTGCCATTGTGTTGAGAATGCTGTATATGAAACATTCGATCTTATTCATATCACGTCCACGTGTATATGAAACACGCATATGAAGCACGCACGCAAGCACGCACGCACGCACGCATGTACGCATGCAAGCACGCACGCGCATGTACACGCACACGCACACGTACACGCACACGCACACGCACACTCACACGCACACGCGAACGCACACACAAATCAAGTGTAGAAATTAATGTTAATAAAGAAATCATTATTATTACTAAAAAGTTCTGTCATTTCCTCACAGGTAAGGTTATAGTTACATTATTTAATCTATGGATAAGGGTTGTGGTAAAAACTATCTTGTTGCTGTGAACGTTACTCCCTGAGCTATATCGCAGCTTTTAAAAAGTGAACCAACTGAAATGTAAACTGAAACAGAATTGAAAATATCTTCTATCAAACTTAAACTAGAAATTGTCCGTACGGAGTTGGTTAAAGTAAAACTTATTCGACTTGGAACAAGCCATCTAATATTTATTTTAAACTTTTATTGTTTGTGCTTACATTAAAGTAACCTTATTACGTTTCAGGATATTTCAAATACTCGTGTATTTTCAGACTGTATATTTTTCATAACATTATCAAAAAGCCATAATTTGTGATTGCAATAATATTTTGTTATTACACAGTAGTATCTTGTTATTTAAATATTTCAGAATTTCTTCTATAATAAGGGTTGTGGTAAAAACTATCTTGTTGCTGTGAACCTTACTCCCTGAGCTATCACAGCTTTTAATAAGTGAACCAATTCAAAAGTAAACTGAAACAGAATTGAAAATATCTTCTTTCAAACCTAAACTATCAAACCTAATTCTATCAAACCTAAACTAGAAATTGTCCGTACGGAGTTGGTTAAAGAAAAACTTATTCGACTTGGAACAAGCCATCTAATATTTATTTTAAACTATTCTTGTTTGTGCTGACATTAAAGTAACCTTATTACGTTGCAGGAGGAATGTTTATCAGCAAATAATAATATAATATGGTTATCACCTAATTGGCAAGGTAAGTCAACTAAGAACAAGAATGTACCGAGAATTGAGCACTAAGGATCGCATTAATACAGGCGACCCCGAAGAGCTCTTGGCATTAATAATATTTTCTGCGTTTCACTACTTAAATGTGAAACAATAAATTCAAGCGCTGTGTTCTTAACACCATTATACTATAGCTTCAGTAGCAGCAAGTTCTTTTCAAAAATTTTACTAAATGTTGTTAGTATAGAAATTGGTCTAAACTGGTTGGCGGTTCTAATACACTACTAGATTTAAATACAGGTATCACTTTTTTAAGTTTAGGTATGCTTACATTAGAATATTGACGAGAGGAGTTGCAACTACATTTATTATATACGCAATAACTTCGGGTGACTACCACAAGCTTATGGTTTACTTTTTTTAATAGAAATATGATGACAAACGAGTACCCAGTCCACCTGATGGTAAGTGGTTGCTGAGGCCCATATACATCTACATCTATTCTCGTTTGCGAATCAAAATGCAGTTGCGTTGTCAGCCTTGAAGACTAAGATGGAATGCCTCTTTTCCATTAAAAAAAGTCTCCGGTTCTCTACACTTACCATACGAAACACAGGAGCATTAAACTGATATTTTACGCTGGTATTCTGTGAGAGCGTGGTCTTTCCCATATCGAGCCGACCCTTACCAACATTAACAACAACGGTTTTAAAATATTAATCAACATCTTTTGAAAATAATTTATGGAATTTAAATGATTTTGAATAAACCTTCACAATTTTTTAATAAGCAATGTTTCGGAGACAGGAACAGAAAGAACAATTTGAATATTATGTTGTTAAAAAGAAATAGGTTCTGTGAATTTTTTTCTCTAAAGCAGCATCAAATTCTTAATTAGTCTTGTTTAAATTACGAGTATTGTTAAGACTCAATAAAAATCCGAGCTGCATAATTTGACCTTGTCCCTTTTACTATTACGTTACTTTATTCTAATTATACGTTATTTTAATTATATTACTTATATCTGAAGCCTTAACTGTGGAGTATACTTTTAAATACCTTAGAATATTTTTAATGTGTCGCTATAATTATATAATTTTTGATTATAAAGCTCATATAGACTTCTTCTTATTAAAAACTTCTTATGGATTCCTGCTGTTTATTGATCATAATTCATAAATAATTTATCGCTGTTTAAATATAATCTTTTAAAGGCAAATTTAATAATTTTATTAAAAGTCTATTAGATTCAAAAATCATCATTTTAAATGAAATTTTAAACAATTGATCAGTATCCGTTTTATAGAGAAGTAATGGAAGTATATTTACTACATTACTTCTAAGGCTCTAAAGTTATTACTTTTAGTTATATAGGCTGTTAAACTTGTCTTGGACGAAGTCTGCTCCTTTTTTTAATTGAATTTTTAAGGTTTTTAATAATAAAACACATTTTTATAAAATTAAAAATATTCGACAACAATTTGCTTTGTACACTAATTGCAAGATTGGATGAGACATCTGCGTAAACCTCAAAAGAAAGGGCATATTTTTGAAAAGGTTTGAACAAAAAAGGCTATTTTATATATATTTTTATAGTGGCATAAACGTAACTAATAAAATTATTTTGTTTGAGTTTTACACATTACATAATTAAAAAATAATAAAATAACAACTGTTACTGCACCATATTACCAATTAATTGAAAAATATGGGCTTTATTGTTAAAAACCTTAAAAATTCAATTTAGAAAAAAAGTAGAAGACTTCGTCTAAGACAAGTTTAGCTTAATATGTTCTAAATAGTTTAAGGTATCATCCCCTTCAGGCTTTGCACCCATCTTCCATGCAGTGTGTATAACATTTGTTACAATTATATTTTAAGAGAAATGTTGTAACTATTTCAATTAAAATATTAAAGTCTATTGAAATTAGAAAAAAAAAGATAAAGTAAAATCTTACTGATTTAATTAAGCAAACATTCGTAAAAATGTTATACCATTTTTATATGAGGCTCGTGCTTTAAAATGTTTTTATTTGTAGTAATTTCTTAAAAATTGTTTTGCATCTAATATAAAGTGATATGTTATAATGAGTGGCAGCCTTGTACCGATAAACAAAGTTTAAGATGGCACCCCACTAGATCGAGTGATGACTTGGTGAGGGATGTAGGAAGTTGGAGGAGAACTTGGGGAAGGCCTCTGTTCAGTTCTAAGGAATGAATGAATGAATGAAAATGATATGGACATCTAAACTATACAAAACTGTATTGTAATACATAAGAAATATATATAGTTTGCTTAAACAGGAAGCTTGGACCGCGTTTTATATGGATGGACGAATTAGAAGACGACGTTACATTACATTCAATTAAATTTTGTATATGTGAGACAATAACTGGTTTAAAAATTAAATTTCTAATAAGACGTAAAAAATGATTGACTAAAATTCACAATTGACGCAGCTATTATTACCGAATTTTTAAAGATGGGTAAAATTTAATTTATCGTTATAAAATAACAATGTGATAGGATTTCCGTAAAAGAAAATTTACCGATATAATTTGAATTAGTGTCCTAAAACAAGGAAGGTAAGCATTAAATCATTATCAAAACGGTTTCATACCGCTACTATAGTACGTCGCTTTATGAATATAAAATTAAATAAATAATTACTATTTTTTGACTTGCAACTGAGTTTAAAGACAGAAACTTTTTAAAGGAATGTGTTCTTCTTTCATATTTCCGTTTAAATCTTACGTTGAAGAAACATAAGAATTTTGCAAAATTAGTGTCTTAGAATAAAAAATACGGAAACAGTTTTTAGTTGTTTTAAATCATAATCAGTAATAATATTATAAATGTGAATGTTTGTGAGGATGTATGGATGTTTGTTACTCTTTCACGCAAAAACTACTGAATGGATTTTAATGAAACTTTACAATAATATAGATCATACTACAGTATAACACGTAAGCCATAATTCATAGAGATAATGTGTGAATTCGTCAAAATACAACGATAAATGTTAAGTAAGTCTGAAGAAAATCTGTCATATGCGAGCTATTTTGGCGTGAACACGCATCACGCAAAAATCTGTAAACCGATTTGGATGGGACTTTCACTGGCAGATAGCTGATGTTATAAGGAGTAACTTAGGCTACTTTTATTTTAGGGTTCCGTAAAAAAAAATTCCATGCGGGTGAAATCGCGGGGAACAGCTAGTCAGTAATAAATTAAACAAAAAAGTTTATTAATTTCTATGGACGTCCACTATTTAAAACAAAGAATGACAACAAATTA